AATTTTATTCTATTTTTATTTAATTTTATTTATTTTAATTTTATTTTATTATATTTTTTTAATTCAATATAATTTTTTTAATTTTATTGTATTCTTTTTATGTATTTTATCTTACTTTTATTTTAAATTTTTTGTTCAACACCTAAATAAAATAACATATTCAAATAAACTAGATTTAAACTGTTATTTTGCACCTTATTGCATGAGAGGAGAGAAGTGGCAGGAGAGGAATGATAAGGAGAGGGAGGGGAGGGGACAAACAAGGTCTAATGTTCCAATAAGAATCCAACAGGATTCCATCGGATTCCGACTCTATCCGACATTTTCCAACTATAGGATCCGACTGTCGGAAATCGTTGGATGCGACAACTTCCGATAGGATCCTGTCGGAAGCTGTCGGATTCCCCGTCGGAAGTTGTCGGATTATCCCAGGAATCCGATCGGATCCGACTGTCGGATTCTTCGTCCTGGGTGAGTGTTGCAATACACAATAGATCTACGAAGCTAACTTAACCAATGATTGCTTCCGATATTGAATGTTCTGAAGTACAGGGAAAAGATTCTCACGATTGGAATGCACCGTTAATGCATTGTGCGTGGATTCAGTCATCTTCTCAGTGAAAGGACTTTTTTTCCTATGATTCATGAATATGCGCTGCAATATGTGAAAGTTACAATGAATTTTTTCCAAAGATTATTTTTCATCATTATGAGTCAATTCTTCACGAAATATTGGCTCAATGTAGTCAAAGTGCAAAATTCGAATGAAAGAATTAATTATATTTGAAGGTACGGTGGTTTTGTTATATCTAAAAGATCCATTGAGTAAATTAAATGAAAAAAAACAATGAACTACTTAATACTTCTTTCTAAAAGATTCAAATGTGACAAAGTCACGACTGTAAAACTACGGTATCCATACCATTCTATTCTACGAACTTCTTATGTAACTAAACCATATTCTTCATATTTCTTACAATCACAAGTCAAGTCTAAGTTTAGTATGTACACAAATCTTAGACTTTGCTTATCAAATGATCTTTATTCATATTGTCAACCATCACCAATTGGACATTCTGCGAATATGTATATTGCATCAGTGTTAATAACACAGACGAATGTGGCACATCCTTTTTTCAGACATTTTTACACAAGGTCATTTGTATGATGACGCTCATTTTTTTCATTTAATATGATAAAAAGATCCGTTATAAAAAAATGGGTTTATTGAAATGAAAAATTTTGAAAATGTACATAATCTCCTGGTCCGCCTAGATTTACACCCTCTACAGATATAGGGTGTCTTGAAAATAACCTACCAAAAAGAAAATCGTTTATCTCCAGTGAAGTTCAGCCAATTCGAGCTGATATTGTTTTCTGATGGTAGACGAGAGTTACAAAGTTTTATTCGCAAAGATAAAATTTAGGAATGATGCTGAAAACCATTGCTATTACTTCAAAACCATATTGAAACCTTTTCCGGTATGGTAAAGCAAGATACAACATTGTTTATTTAGCTACTTCAATTTTTTTGTAATTTTCGATTTCAAAGCATTCAGATCTACAACTCTTGCTTTATAAACACTTATTCGAATGTTTTCTTATAAAAAGAAGGTTTATAGAGCAAGTATGAAAAATTTGGATAGTTAAAAGTCGAAAATTATGAAAAAAGTTGAAGTAACTAAATAAACAATCTTGTATCTTGTTTTACCATATCGGAAAATACTTCAGTTTAGTATTGAAAGCAATATCAATGGTTTTCAGCATCATTCCTAAACTTTATCTTTGCAAATAAAAATTTATAACTCTCTTCTACTATCAAAAAACAGAATCAGTTCGAATTGGCTGAAGTACAGTAGAGATAAATGATTTTCTTTTTGGTAGGCTATTTCTGAGACACCCTGTACATATATATACTTTTCTGTATATTCAAGTATGTGCTTTCTTTCTATATGTCATTTTACACGTCCTTTCTTATGCATCCTTATCTTTACGTGTTTTTCTGTACGTTTCTTTCTATATTTTCTTTTTGTATGTCCTTTTATACGTCGTTTTTGTGTTGTTTTCCGTACTATCAAAGCATAAAATAAAGATAGACTTTATTATGTACACAGAGACGATTATGGACTCCGACTCTACAGGACGATACGCACCTTCACAGCTCGAGATAGATATAAAAGGTCAGTTAAAAGAATAGCTTTTGTTTTTTATTTTTGAACAATTGACTTCAACGCTCAACATTTACATGTGTAATAGATTTTGGCGTTTTGAATGAACATATGGAAAAGTGCATGTAGAAAAAGATATACAGAAAATAAAATGTTATGACAATAGCATGATTTTGTTTACGATTCAGCACTACTTTTAATTTACCTCAGAAAAGCTTTGTTGGTTTTTTTATTAATGGTTCTCAAAAAAATCATAAAGTGGATTATATAAGTTTACAAAGATCCAGTACATTCTGTTGAGTTCTTTATTGGACGTCTGGAGATAAAATTAGTTGAGTCATTAGAATAGATATTCGATTATTGCTACAAGAAAAAACAACTGCACATAACATTGATTCAGATGAAGTGTTACTTGTATATTGATACAGTTATTTGCTGGTTTCGGTCTCGAGAATTAATGAGACATGAGAGAAATAGAATGTTTTACATATTATGTGATATGGACCGCTATAAAACAATTCATAATAACTAGTCACTTAAATTCTCAAAGAAACATATTATAAATATTTTTTTTCTAATCCTATCATTCTTGAGTTTTAGTAGTATATTAATGGTTATATTGGTAAGATGATAGTCAATAACAAACAATTAGTCAATGCTTCTAGAGCAAATGAGGACATCGATTACTACTGCTTTAATGATTTTCATGACAAATTCGATCTTAATGGTCACGACACGAAGATTTATTTATTTTCGATGATTAATTGATAGATCTAATTTAAACTCAGCTAAATTTTGAAATGAATTTGAAAGACATCGACATACCAGGTATTAGTAATCAGGAAATTATTCAAAATAATGTTTAATTACATAATTATTTGTTCTGTTTATTCTGTGAAGTTATCGTCATCGATCTTAGCATTGAACAATTACTATATTAAGCGTTAAACAATTTTTAAGAGATTGTCAGAAACGTGTTATTTTTCACAAATCTCTCTCTTTTCTTTTCTCATTCTCATTCTAATTTATATAAGAATTAGGAGACTATGATCAGCATACGATTGAAATTTATAAACAGACATTCGACGTAGCAACTGCATATATTTCGACTTCAGAATAAATTTCGTATACCATTCCAATAAATTTGAAAATCAACTCATCTTTTAAACTAAAATAAAAAAAGAAATTAATGTTTTTTTTACAAAACGATGAAGTTATGCAAAAAGCAAAAGTAAGTGTCATCTTGAAAAATTCTAACCAATATCATTCAACAGAAGAAAAATGGAATTACAAATTTTCCTATCATTGAGAACGTTCAACAGTCTCAAAATTTATTAAAATTAGTTTGTTGAGTTTACTTCAAAGAAGAAAATTTTTTTAACAGTAAAACCATGAGAAGAATATGTGTTATTTATTTTTACAGGTGAAACACATGTGTAGCTAGGATGTATTATTACTGTTTTAATCACTCTTTGGAATCAAACGTTTTCTCCAAAGTGTGATTAATTTAATAATCATTTTTTGCAGATTAGTATTCATGTTATCTTGAGCATACTCAGTTGCTCTCATGAAGAAGGATCCATGACGGGAAGTAACTACATATAAAATAAATGATCACTGATTTTACTCATTCAAATAAAATATAATGTTTGTAGAAAATAATATCGTTATTGTCAGTAGTAGATGCTTGTAATGAAAAATTAAATTTTAAATGATTTTCTTTCGATTTGTGTTAGTACAATTATGCAAATCTATCGAAATAAATATTTGTCAAATACAATCTAGAAAAGCTCTTGAAAACTTTAAAAAGTGATAAAGTTGAGCTTACTTTGAATAGAATATTTTGATAATAGAAAAAAATAATCTAAACACAAAAGACTTCTATGAGGTAGTTTTACTACTCATTTTTGATCACTCACCCAATCTGTTTAGTTCAACATGAAAAAAATCAAGTAAACAGTTTTATCATTATCCATTATAATTTTGATAAATATATTTATTTATTTCAGATACATATGACATGACTTCTGTTAAAGATACTTGTATACAACTGATTAATCTTGTTAAAGCTGACTCTTCATCAACTGATAAACAAACTGAATCTATGAACGCAGTTCTTATACCTCCTCCAACGACGGTTACTATGAATTCAGATATTTCTAATGACAAAGAGACTCATTCTCAATATGTAAAGTCAGAAAAGATTGCTGCAAATTTCATATTATCTTTGATTAGTCGTCGACTAGCTCTTCGAAAAGACTTACATAATCAACTGTATGAAATATGTCTGTTTGCTTTTTTTTAATACTGCTTTATATGTTTTAGTTGTCGCCTGAGTGATATCATGTGTTTTCTTGGCGTTTTCGGCATTATTCTGATGATGATTGTCAGTGAAATAGAATTTAACCAAATCAATGATAAGTATGCCAAACTCTGTTGGTTTATCAAATTAACTATTACTTTATCAACGATTGTTCTTATTGGATTAATATTCTATTATCATCGTTTAGATATAAATCTCTATTCTATTAATAACTCAATTGATGATTGCCATATAACAATAACATACACGAAACTATTCTTAATTATATTTGAAATATTAATTTGCGGTATACATCCGATACCTCGCTCATTTCCTCTTCATTCGACTACATCGTTAGAAAACATAAATTCAGATTCAACCGCGTCTACTCATGATGCTTATTCTTCTATGGCTGTCGATATTCTACTTGGTTTGCCAAGTAAGTATCAATTTCTTATTTTTCCTTATCAAATATAAAATTGAGTAAATTACTAGTGTTTTCTCGTCTGTATTTATTTGGTCGTGTTATCATGTTTCACTCTCATCTATTTCGTGATGTATCACTACGATCCATTGGTTATCTTAATAAAGTATCAGTTAATTTCTTCTTTCTCGTGAAAACTCATCTTGAACGATTTCCAACACGTTGTTTAACGGCATTTTGTGTGGTTCTCTGTATTATTGGTAGTTGGGCTTTACGTGCATGTAGTTACTTGCCAAACAATCAACGTTTATCAGTATCTGATTCAATGTGGTTGTTCATTGTGACATTTAGTACCGTTGGCTATGGAGATTTAACACCTACTTCATACTGTGGACGAAGTAACTCGATTATAATTCATAAAGAAAAACAAATATTTTCATTTTTCATATCTAAATAAAGCTTTCACTTTTATTTTTATGTTTAGGTGTTGCTGCTATAGTCGGTTTGGTTGGTGTCTTTTCAACTGCTCTTGTTATTGCTGTTCTTGCACAAATGCTTTTGTTGGATCGATGGGAAAAATATGTGCATAATTTTGCATTGAAGGCTGACTTGGAGAAAGAACGTAAAGCACAAGCCGCTAACATAGTTAAATTTACAATAAAAGTTTGGTATTTGAGAAAAAAAAATAGATCTAAATTATCGATCCGATATCTTCAAGCACAACGGCAACTATTTAATTCAATAGATTCTCTTCAAATTATTAAACAAAAACAACGAAAATTAATCGATCATTGTGTTGATCAAATTGATATAATTACTCTACAACGTAGTACAAGTGATAAAACATATGAAATTGCGAAGCAATTAACATTCCTGAAAACTAAAATTGATAGCATGGAAGACAAGCTTATTGACATGAATATAAATATAAACAATACAATGAACGATATGCAAAAAACACTTCAAATGTTATTGGATAAAGTTGCGAAATAATTTATTAATTATACAGTTTATTTGTTCTTCTTTATAACAAATTTAATATTGGACTTGTTCATATTAATTTTATCTTGTTTATATTTTTAATTTCATGATTTTTCATATGAAATAATACTAATATTAACTTAAAGTGTCAATTAGTATTTCGTCCATTGACATTAATAAGAAATCTTGTTAGTACATCTTCTTTGCGACTGACATGTGAAACTCACATATTTCATGTAAGCTTGAATACTCAACACACTGTAAAGCTAGTTACTATGGTCTATAATGAGGAGTGAAGTCTCAAAAACTTGAACTTATACTCACTAGTTTTCTTCGAACATATATGCAAGTTTCACAAAAGGATTTACTTTTTGATCTACAACACTTTTCTAACGTTTTTCATTTTGCAAAAATAATAATTATAAACTCAACATTGTAATGATAAAGTAACCCTGTTTAGCATGTTTTTATATTTTTGTTTTCGTACTTTTTAATCATACTGAAATACATTTCGAACATGGTTACCTACTATATTCAATGTCTAAACATAGAATTTGTATCGGAGAAAAGCCATGATGTTAAGATGTATTTTTGTTTCAAGTTATTATGAACTTCTTTTTGCAGATTCAAAATACATAACAACAATGATATTAATAAACAAACAAACAAACCTAAAGATATATAGATCCAATGAAGAAAAAATACATAAGTTTATGTAGAGGATAAGAAGAAAAAAGAAAAGAAAAAGAGGGCAGTATCAAGACAGAAAATATACATGATCTGGTGTGTTTTAGTACAGACCATTACACGTCAATAGACCCACCGTTCAGTATAATGTGCGTTATAACTCATAGTATTCCGAAAGTCAACCGTTGGTAGTTTGCTACTTAAATGGTTGACAATCTTCTAAATCTCATTCTACGACAGTAGTGCGAGTGAATTTGCAACATGATTAGCTTAAAAAGTTTATCACTATGACTTTTATCGAGACTTCCGACGTCATCTTCTAATAAATACTTATTATCATATTTTGCTTATCGACAATACATAAAATAAAAGTCGAGAGAAAAAGTATATCAGATTAAAATCAATTATTTTTCTATTAAAAATCGATTAAAGTTTGTTAACTGAATAGAGAAATCACAAATCAAACCAACACCCGTACATATTCGACCTGAAAGGTTGCTGTTACATTTCGTTGAGTTATTTTCCGTCTCAAAATAGCTGTAGGATGTTTTAGTTCATACATTCTCTGTGGTAGAATAATAACTGCCGGCTCCTGAAATTCAATTGTTCAAAAATTAAAAATGTTAGTTCGCTTGTTCATAAAAATACTACCGATAATCATTTTTCGATATTAACGAAGAAGAACCCATTAGCGAATAAATTATAATATGAATAAATGAATGAAAATACTTTGACTACTTAAAAAAAAACAACTACATGCTATATTTTCTTAACCCAAACGACAATAAGAATTTATTTTTAAACGAAAGAAAATTATATGGTAGTTTTGCGCTCAAAATAAACGAATTCTACCTTATATATACTTTTCTTTGCGTCTATTCTACTGTGAGCAATATAGTTGTCTATCAGATATTGATAGAACTGCTTTGAAAAATAGCAAAGCTTATTTTTTGTTGTATATGTTAGCTGTTTCTATTTAAGAGCTTTTACAAGCTGGATAAATTTTCAATATGGAGTTTTTTCTAATTTTGATTTCTTGATCTATGCATATCCGGCTAAAGTAACAGTATAGCCAAACACTTGTAAATTAGGTTCTCCTCTTTTTTTTCTGTTTTTTGGTAAGTCTCTCACTCTGAGTGCACTGGATTCAAGACTTCTACAACAGTAAATATCTAAAATTGAAAGAATGTGGGCTGTGGTTGTCAATTGAAGTAGAACATCCATACTGCCGTACGGAAAGAACAAGCCATCGTTGGATACAATATGGTTTTCAAGAAGAATTGAGACTAATGCACGATGAACACCACCTGCATAGAGCCTTTTATGACCCTTCACTGCCTGCTTATCAAACACTTTCTGATACGATCGCATCATTTGTCTCGACTAGTGTCCGGCGTGACCACCGTGACTATCAGTGAGTTTCGGTCACGGTCGCGGCCGTGACCGTGCGTGACTTTTTTCAAAGATCGTGACCGTGACTGGAGCTTGGTCACGATCAGTCACGGGAACTTTTTCGAAATTTTGGAAGCCCCTGATGAAGAGTAAGGGGACCTTTGCGAAGCTACTCTCTCCCACTCGGATATCGGTTTTTATGAAAAATTGGGAAGTTTCTACTATTCGTGATTTTGCAAACCCCTGAGGGAAAATACTGGCACCTCCGCGATCATCACTTCTAATAGTTAGCAGAACCCTAGTCTCAATCCTGTTCATTCCTTGAGAAATTCTGCAAGGATCTGTCAGGATCCTGAATCTCCAAGATCTTGTCAAGTTTTGGGTGTGGGATCCCGGCTTAATTCCTGCTACCAGGATTTCTCACAGTTATACAGGATCCTGTTTAGGATTTCTTTCCGTTCCTGGCCAGATGTGTTTGTAGATAATGAATATAGGATCCTTCAAGGATTCATTTATGATCCTGCGTAGGGTCCTAACAGAAATAATGGAGAGGATTCTCTCAAGATTTTATCAAATTTTAGACAAGATCTGATACAGATCTTGGTACAACGACCCAGTCAACTTTTGCAGCTAAAACTGAGGAGCGTCGCAACAAAAAGCCAACAAGAGAGTATATCAGTGGCTGTTCTTGTCAGTTAATACAAGTAGAACTTCTGTTCACACCCACAACCACATCTTGTTTTCTAAATTATTCCAAGTTCAACAACAATGATAACCTGTTCAGGATCCTGATGTAATCCTTTTTTGAATTCTGCTAGGATCTTGAAATTCCGTGGCGACACACTTTCAGAATTTCGTCGATTCCTCAGGAACAAAGAGCGAATCTTGAAAGGATCCTGACTGAATCCATGAAAGACCTGGCACGGAACCATCAAGAGTTTTCCCTAGGGGAACTTTGCAATAGCTCTATTCTGGAAAGTATTTTTCATGTAGAGAAACCAGAAAGAAGGGCCGTTACTCACGGTCATGGAATAGGCTCACCGTGACCGTGACCAAAAAAGTTGGACACGCCGGGCACTAGTCTCGACCTAATTGAATTTTAAGAACAAGGAAATTCAGAGAAGTCAAACCTAATAACAATGCGAATAAACTCTATAAACATATAGTCAAGTGACTGTGCTCCATTTTCCATCACAATGAATAAATACTTTTATTTAAAATTTTAATTTCCAATCAAAATGCAACAAAAGGAAATATAATCAGGTACATGGGCGATGGGGTCATTAGATCTGGCTAGGCTCGAATCTACCTTGAATTGGAGAGTTAAAGGCTTGGGTAGACTCAATCTCACCTTATGTCGGATAAGTAAAGGCTTAGATAATGTTTAATTATTGTGAAAAATTTGTATTACTGTTTAATCTTCATTTTCTTTCCGACAGATGACACGTTGTTTCAAGATCAATCCGCATCTCATCTACTACGAACTCGAGTTAAGTAAGCATATGCGACGGAATCACAAGGCTTGGGAACAGATGTGAGAGTGTTGAAAAGAAAGTCCACACTCAAACATGTTCCTCGAATTAGATCATAAAAAAATTAAGAAAAGACAATATCGTTTATTTAATTGTTAACTTACTTTTCTTTGTCCAGTCTGTGTGTGTAACTGTAAAATTTTCATTGTAGGAATAAGTGAATAAGCATGTGCGAGTGATTGATATAAGTACATATAACAAAATCTATGATGACTATCTATCTTTCAATTTTGGTGAGAACCTTTTTATTGCTCTATTATCGATGGAAAGAAATCTTGACTAGACTTTAAGAGGAAAAAGAATATTTAAGAATAGGTCAAGAAAAGGCATCGGATAAGAATAGAAACAAGAATATTGATTTGTGAGTGGGCGGTTATTGAGGAAGAAGAGATAAACACAGAAGAGAATAACAAATAAAAATCAAATGAGTATATTTTTGAAGGATTCATGTAGATATTAATAGAAACTATTTCGAAAATTTGATATTCATGATGATTATGTACATGACTGAATATTCTTCGAAAAACAATATGTTCACCGTATTCATCATTGCAATTGAGAGTGCGGGTGGAGTATGTTTAACTCCTCTCCTCCATCAAACCCACGCTCACAGCCTAACTATACTTTTGGATTTTATGATTTATATGTGCTTACCTTCTTTTAGTCACTTTTTAGTTTTGTATTCATTGATGAAAACGTAAAAATTCTCATTTCATTATTCAAAGATGCATTCTTTTATTTGAACCTCTTTTTTGGTCACGGTCACGGTGAGCCTATTCCATGACCGTGAGTAACGGCCCTTCTTTCTGGTTTCTCTACATGAAAAATACTTTCCAGAATAGAGCTATTGCAAAGTTCCCCTAGGGAAAACTCTTGANTCTTTTATTTGAACCTCTTTTTAGCAAGAAAGTAATTAAGTATAAAAGCTGTTAGCGCAATCCCTTGCGGGATTAAAAATGTGAAACACGATGTAACTGCTATAACCGATTTTCTAAAAGCTATTGTTTTTGCATGCATACTGATGTGCATTTCATAGTGGCTTACCTTATATTATATACGTTCAACAGAGTAATACGCCATATATGCTTCAATCATATGTTAGTTATGCAATATATCTGATATTTCCTTGAAGTGCTCTATTACAGTCTATAATGACCCCTGAGTTGTGTCTGTCACAGTCTGTGATGGGTCATGTGAGTGTCTGTCACGATCTGGGGGGGGGGGGGGGGGGGGGGCGGTTTTCCACCGTCCCCCCGGCCCCCGCCCCAC